GGAGCGCGAGCGGGGAGCGGCGGCCAGAGAGCGGCGCTGCGCCTGCGCGGTGTGCGGGCCCCTTACCCCCGCGGAGCCGCCGCTGCCCCACGGCGCCCTCCCGCGCATGTCCGTCCCGGCTGGCTCAGCGCCGCGGGCTCAGGGGCCCGGACACCGCGCAGGCGCCTCGCCGCTCTCTGGCCGCCGCTCCCCGCTCGCGCTCCCCGCTCGCACTCGGCCGCCGTCGGCGCGGCTGCCGACGCCGCATTATATAGCAAGTGGCGGGGCCGTGACGTCGACGCTCGGCGCCCCACCTCCCCCGCGCGGCCAATCGGGGCCGTGCGCCGCTTAAAGGGGCGATGCCGCGGCTCAGGCGCTGGCGCGGGGTCCACCGGCGTCGCGCGGCCCGGCGGCGCCGCCGCCTTTGTCTCCGAGGGGGAAGATTCTGGGCCTCGGAGGCCTCCGCGCCTTTGCTGTGCCCAATGAGAGCGGCAGCTGCCGAGCCTCCCCCGGAGTCCTGACATCGAACTTTTCTGTGAGGTGTGCGGGCAGCTCGGCCTCGTTCCGCCCAAACCGCAGGCGGCGCCGCGCCTCGAGCGGGGTTTCCCGTCGTTTCCTGCCCCGGGGAGGGTTTGGCGGGTGTTCCCCTGCCCGCGTGGCGGCTGCCGCGGGGTGACCGGGTGGCCGCAGACTCCCGGCCATGGTGAGTGGAGCCTCTGCGAGCAGGAGGCCCGCGCGCACCGTAGGCCTGCGGGCCGAGGCGTGGGAGGGACCGCAAGGGACGGTGTGGACAGAGTGGGGCAGCACGGGACATTAAGAGACGGTGTGGGGCGTCGAGGGACAGAGTCGCACACCGTGGGGCCGAGCGGCACAGCACGGGACAGGGTGGCCACCCTGGTGAGGGCCTTTCATGAGCCCTCCTAACGCGGGTCTGCCCGGCCACCTCTCCTCCGACCACATGTTTGAAAGTGAAGGCCAGGCCCTGGTGGCCGTTGACCCGTGGCTTCCAGGAGGAGCACCCCCAGCCCCAACCGGGCCTCGCCTTCCGTCTCCGATCTCGAGTTTACTTATTAGACCCACGCTGCTCTCCACATCTCCGGGCATCCGGGTAGCCGGCGATGCCCAAGGACAAAACACCAGCTAGCCTGCAGGAGGAGGCTTCTCCCCTGGAAGGTGATGCAACTTAGGCTTATAGTTTAACCGAAAAATAAATAATACAAATGATAACAAACCAAGAGTAACTAAAGTAAGAAAAAAAGCAAACAGACAGAAACCCTCCAGTTTTAACCGGAACAGTCCCCTGAATGGTACTCTCTCTTTAAGTAGAGGCCACAGACCTCCGGCTGACCTCCTTCGCCTTGGAGAGCCCCTTCTTGGTTTCAGCAGTTGTGCCCGAGAGTTCCACAGTTAGCACTACCTAATTGGGGGAGTTTAACACATAGAATGAGATTCTGACCTCATTATCAGGTTAATTATTAACTTACGCACTCCATGAAACGATTTGCCTTTTCTCCCCTGTTATTCACTTACATTCTTTTAAATCCGATTCAAAGGCCCAGTTTTGAATTCAAGGGCTTCACGCACACACACAAGTCCGAAGTATCCCTTTGCCCTCTCTCAGTTGCAAGACAAACCCATGTTTAGCAGAGAGCTCTCCTCTCCTTTCTGATGGGCTTTTTCTGGTCTACGGGGGCTCTGGGGTCATAGGTCCTGAGTCGGGTCAACCAACTTATGGTCTTATTGCCATTGATTTAGTTATTATTTTAGGATGATGGGAATCGGTTACAACTACTCTCTGGCTTTCTTCACCAAATTAGGCTCTTTGCTGTGCGGAAACTCCAGATCGTTCTCCCCCATTTTGGTGTCATTTATGTTGAAGACTTAGCCATATGCTGTTATCAGTGTATAAAAAGAACTAGCCTGAGAACTTGCCAGAGAACATCTTTTCAGGCCTCACAGTGCAGAGCGTTTACTGAATGGGGACCTAGATGAACTCAAGTTTCATCCGAAAGGAACCCTCGTTACGCTAATTCAAGCCACTACAATACAGTTGTAATTTGTGCTTTGGCCTTATTGGCATGCTTTTCCATTCCCCTATTCATTAACAGCAATCATTGCCAGAGCAACCATCAAACACACCCCTTCTTTAGAGAAAGAAGATCCACGGGATACTCGCTCTACGGTTGTCAACCGTATGGTGTCCCGTTTTGGGAAGCTGTCAAAAGTCGTAAAATCACGTGAGTATAATATATGATTAATCCATTCTTTTCTTCCGATCTATTTTATTTTTTGAAGTTTATTTATGTTGAGAGAGAGACAGAGACAGAAAGAAAGCACGGGGGGGGGGGTGGGGGGCAGAGAGAAGGAGAGGCAGAATCCCAAGCAGGCTCCACACCATCAGCCCAGAGCCCGATGTGGGGCTCGAACTCACGCACTGTGAGATCACGACCTGAGCTGAGATCAAGAATCAGACGCTGAACTGACAGAGCCACCTAGGCGCCCCTCTTCTAATCTGTGTCAAACGAGCAAAATAAACAGCTATGTCTCTTTGTTTGGGGGGAAAATCCAGTTATAGTTGATAGCTTACTGGATTTGGCTTCTAGTTATGTTCATGTAATATAGCTCTCTCGGCTGTGGCTGAGTTACATGAGGAGACTCCTACCCCACAAATCTTTTATCTAATAGTCTATTGGTGATCTTTTGTAATAATACTGTCCTGTCAATGATATTGTATTTAGGGAAGAGTTTAAAAGGAAGGTGCTGGGGCGCCTGGGTGGCGCAGTCGGTTAAGCGTCCGACTTCAGCTCAGGTCACGATCTCGCGGTCCGTGAGTTCGAGCCCCGCGTCGGGCTCTGGGCTGATGGCTCAGAGCCTGGAGCCTGTTTCCGATTCTGAGTCTCCCTCTCTCTCTGACCCTTTCCCGTTCATGCTCTGTCTCTCTCTGTCCCAAAAATAAATAAACGTTGAAAAAAAAAAACTTAAAAAAAAATAATAATAAATAAATAAATAAATAAATAAATAAATAAATAAAAAAGGAAGGTGCTAAGCAGCTTGCAATAATATTAGCATCTTGTGTTTATCAGGCGATCATTCACTGATTTTTAACAGATTAGAACACTAGACTAGAGGTTTAGGCGGAAAATATCCTCTTTGTACTGAACCTAACTTGTTTTAAATTGTCTCCAGGGAGAGAGAAGCTTAAAGTCAGACTTTTTTTTTTTTTTTCCATCTCTCACAGTCCATTTAATTTTGAAGCACTTCCCAAGGAATTTACATTAGCTGATTGTTTTTTAATATGAAAAAAACTAAACATAACATCTAAAATGTTAGACTTACACCACATTGACCCAGATTGTCCCTTTGCACTTGGCCATTTCTCAGTGTAAGAAGAAGCTGTCCTTGGAGTGAGAACAAGGGGACGTTCTGACTCAGAAACCGTAGAATCACAGATACTGCTTTTCTAAAGATTTTGTTCCTTTTTCTCTTGTCTAGCAATACCAATGCTGGACAGGGGCCTTTCAACCCATCCAAATTCACGTTTGAATGTTATTGATTCCTGCAGAAGATGCACATTTTGGTGTTTTTCTTCTTGATTATAGATGGTTTTGTCTTAACCGTAGAAACAGTCAAATGTTTTTTTTTTTAAATTTTTTTTTTCAACGTTTTATTTATTTTTGGGACAGAGAGAGACAGAGCATGAACGGGGGAGGGGCAGAGAGAGAGGGAGACACAGAATCGGAAACAGGCTCCAGGCTCTGAGCCATCAGCCCAGAGCCTGACGCGGGGCTCGAACTCCCGGACCGCGAGATCGTGACCTGGCTGAGTCGGACGCTTAACCGACTGCGCCACCCAGGCGCCCCTAAACAGTCAAATGTTTTAAAGTGAGACACTTTCTGGATTACCCTCTTAGTTCTAGAGCGTTTACTTTTGTCGATTCATGATATAAATGTGACCATGCACTTTCCCTCTTTTACTAATATATGGCTGAGTGTGCAGTAAAACATGACAATGGAAAAATTCCGTTTCTTATAGGTCATTTATTAGTATGCCACTTTATGGCTTGGAGACATCTGGGCACAGATATATATCCAATAAACTTTGTGGGTTACTATAAAACATCCATGCCGATAAGAGCCGAGATTCATTCACGAAGAGTCCCACAGCACAGTGGACGTCTCCTCTGAGCTTTCAACTGTAGCAGCCATTTGGAAAATTGCACGGGAAAAGATTTCTTTACAACGTCCATTTTTTTCCCTTCTCTAGTTAGGGATACTCCTCCCCCTTCTTAGATTTTACCCTAAAAGAAAAAAAAAAAAAAAGAAAAGTATATGTGGTATATACTGCAGATATGCAGACCATGAAGAATGAGCAGGCCTTTTTTTTTTAATGTTTATTTTTGGGGTGGTGGGGCAGAGAGAGAGAGAGAGAGAGGGAGGGAGTCTCAAGTAAGCTCTGCATGTCAGCGCAGAACCCCATGTGGGGCTCGAACTCAAGAACTGTGAGATCATGACCTGTGCTGAAATCAGGAGTCAGATGCTTATCTGACGGAGCCACCCAAGTGCCCCATGAACAGACTGGTTTTAACTGCTCATTTTCTTGTTTCAGTGTCAGGGCCATGGCTTAACTGCCTTCATAGCACGTATAGTTGTTTATATTTAAATTGAACCACTTTTCATTTACCCAATTCTCCCTTAACAAACATTTGATGTGATTGGTGATCATTGTATTTCTTGTTCTAGTCCATTTCTGGAACGTATGACTATCAGAAACTTTTCAGTGTCCCATACGTACGTTAATTGAATATGTGGATGTTTGCAAGACGATGCTTTTCGGGTTTCTTTTGAACACGAATCTGACTTTATCTTCAAATTTTAACATTTCGTTTTCCCCCCACGCAAATGCTGTATTTCCCATCAGCTGGCCAGTAGGGTGTGCTCTAGTCCCTTGCCAGATAAATAAATAAATTAATAAATAAATTGATTAAAAAGAAATTAAAAATATGAATGTCACCTCTTCACCAAGAGATTACAGAAATATACCTCACTCTTTCGTTGCCACCCACAGAGATGAAGTATTCTGCCCACAGACACAGTGAATCGTTCAGCAAACACAGTACCTGTGGGGAGCAAAACTATCGCATTGAAAAAAGAAACTTTGGAGAGGTGGACCCCTTAGGAGTTAGTTCTGAAACAACTTGCTATAATTTTACCAAATGGATCCCTTGGTCACAGATAGTTTCTTTTATTCCGTGTAAAATGAGAATAAAAAAATCTGGTGCAGTGGTGAAGAACGCAGACCCTGGGGTTTACATCCTGACTGTCTCACCAGTGACTCAAGTACTTACTTGGCCTTTTGTAAGATGATGATAATAGTGGTTCCTACTCTGCAGGGTTCCTGGCCAGATAAATGAGATCGTACTTGGGAAGTGCTTAGGAACGTGGTCTGGCCCCAGTCGGGGTTCAGTAACAGTAACTGTCCTTTTTTTTTTTTTTTTTTTTAAATCATTGCTATTCTCACTGTTATTGCTGTAAATTCGTTGAGGGATTTTCTGACACCTTTCTTTGCAAGATTCCCAAATTCTCTATCGCTTATTAGCATACATGATTTAATTTGTGCATCAGGAGCATAAACGATTGCTAAGATAAACTGTCTCACTTTTCCTGTAGTATTTCCACTTAAGAGGCTATAAAGCCTTAAGCCAAAGACGAGGGTCTGCCATAGGGAAATATCAAGCACCAGCAATCCTTGGGGAGATACCCGACGGATGGGAGACTCTCAGCATCTCTGAAGGGAAGATAACAAGCGGCCACAAATCTATGAGCACCTTCCTGTAAACTCATATTCATAAACACCCACAAGCATTTGTCCTTTTAAGAAATAGGTTTAGTTTGTACATAAAGTACCTGCAGAACTTTTAAATACAGGCAACATTACCATTTTCTCTGCAAGGCAAGGGCAAGGAGATATTACCCAGTGACTAGGTACAGTAGCATTGTAAGAAGTCAATGAATCCCAACACTTCTTGAGGCTCCGCCTTTATTCATTCATACATGTATTCATTAATCAATAAATATCTATTGAACTCCTACTATGTGCCAGTCCATACCAGGTTCGGGGTAGTGAGCAAGAGAAACATTCAGAGAGCGTTCAGCGGTGGGATTATAGACAAGCATATGGGAAACTTAATTTATATAAAGTGCAAAAAAGTCTTCATAAAAAGACTAGATTCTGTCTCCTTAAATCTTTGAGAATCAAAGACTCTTTGAACCAGTATTTTTTTTAAAGTTTATTTATTTTGAGAGAGAGAGAAAACAAGGGGGGAGGAGCAGAGAGAGAGGGAGGCAGAAATCTCAAGTGAGCACTGTGCTGACCGCAGAGAGCCCAATGTGGGGCTCAAACTCAGGAACCATGAGACCATAACCTGAGCTGAAGTTGGAGGCACTTAACCAACTGAGGCACCCAGGCGCCCCTGAGCCAGTATTTTCACTAGTGATACATTGAGGAAATAATCATAGAGAAAGCTTTCTGCTCAAAGTTGCTCAATGCAGTGTTGTTCATAATAGTGAAAACCTGGCCTGTTAGTAGGACAGTTGGCATGTAAAATATCGAATATCTATTCAGCTATTAAAATGATCCTTATGAAGATTTTGTAATTAGGAATAATAACTAATAATAGCTAACACTTTTATAGCATTTGCTAGGAACTGGGCTCTGTTCTAGGGCTTTACCTATAAGAGTTAATTAAACGTTCACACAATCCTGTGAAGTCCATGTTGTTACTATGCCTGGTTTATGAACAAGGTGAAGTAATACGCCCAAGGTTACAAAGCTGGTAACTGTGGGTTTAAACCGAGGCAGTTGCTCTCAACCACTGCAAATTCTTCCAATATAATGCTTGGTGTAAAAAGTAGAATGCGAAATTGAATATGTAGAATATCTATCCTCATGTTATCAGCACCTTTTTACTGTGCGAGACAGAAAAAAATCCAACTCAGGGGCTCCTGGGTGGCTCAGTCGGTTAAGCGTTAGACTTCGGCACAGGTCATGATCTCACGATTTGTGAGTTCAAGCCCCGCATTGGGCTGTGTGCTGACAGCTCAGAGCCTGGAGCCTGCTTCAGATTCTGTTTCCCTCTCTCTCTGCCCCTCCCCCACTCTCTCAGTCTCTCTCTCTCTCTCTCTCAAAAAGAAACATTGAAAAAATAAAGAAAGAAAAATCCAACTCAAATTCATTAAAATAAAAAGGAATTCACTGCTTCAGTTCTGGACAAGTCTTAGTGGCTGCATGCACTGCTTTATTTAGGTGCTCAAATAACATCACCCACGTCTGGGCTTTCCCTAACTTTTGGTTTTGTCCTATTTTGTAGTGACTTCATCTTGAGGTTCTTCGGTGGCATGATGGCTGCCTGCAGCTCTGAGGTAAGATGGCTGCCAGCAAACCCTGGGCCATTTAATTAAAAAAAAAAAAAAAAAAAAAAAAAAGCTTATTTAATGGTTTGAACAAAAACCAAAACCTGGGCCTGCTTCTCACTAGTTCAAATGGAGGGACAGGGAACGAATGCTCTGATTGGCCAAGCCTGGGTGCAAGGCCACCCTTGGAACTATGGGTAGAATTAGCTCCACCTGAAGCACATCAACTAAATGCAGAGAAGGGGTGGTGATCTCCTACAGTCAAATTGGACAATGGACTAGGAGAAAAGGGAAGTGGATGTTTTTGGTATACATCAAGTATCCACAACAATTTCATCTATAGGATATTCATCTATAGGATAAGCATTTGACCCCGTAACTTACACCTTGAAGCTTTCTGTTCTTTGACCTTGATGACACTACACTATCATACCTTTTTGGTGTCTCTTCTGAGTCCTCCTTAGTCTTCTAGTCTTCTTTTTCTAGGATGCTTAGCTGTAGGTATCCTCTGGAGCTATTTTTATCTGTTTCTAAGCCATCACATTCAATTCCTAAACTTTTATTATCACCTCTATATGAATTGTGCCCACATCTAATTATAGCCATATCTTCTTTCCTGACTTTTATTCCATGCTTTCAGTTTCTTACTAGTACTCCCCCACCCCCTTTGGATATTTGTTGCAGATTGGCTTCCTTGGGCAACAGGCTTTGGGATGAAGGATAATTTATTAGAGTATACTCTTGGAATCTATTGAAGGGAAGAGGAAGGAGCAGATTTGGGCAGAAAGAGAAGCTGAGCTGTGGTACAGATCCAAGATAGGCCTTAGCTGATCCTATGGAAAGATTTGGAGCTGGATTGGTCCTCTAGAGTTGTCCCAACTTAGGCAAGGGAGCTGGATCTTTATTCCTTCCACCCCCACTGGCCAGTCATTGGATGTGGGTTGCCCTTGGGAGGAAGAACAATATTGGGCAAAGCCATTTTATTTAGCTGAGACACTCTTTAAAGAGGGTTGACAGGTAAGGACTATTTTCTGGCAGCAATCATAGAAGTATGGGGTCTAATCCCAGAAGTAAGACTTCAGCCCTCCAGGGGGATCTGGGTAGCTCATCATCGTAGCTTCCATTTATTTTATTTATTCTCCCTGGCTGTTGGTCTACTCTCCCTCGCTCTATTCTGGTAATATTGTTGATATTTTACTTAGATATTTTGAGGCTATGTTATTAGGTGCATACAAGTTTACAGTTGTTAAACCTGTCTGGTAAATTGAACATTCTGTTAATGTATAATGAGCTTCTACTAGTAATAACTTTTGCTTTAAAGTTTGTTTTGTATGGTATTGCTATAGTCACACTGGATTTCATTTAGTTTGTATTTTGGTGAATCTTTTTCCAAAATGTTCTTTTTAATCTTTGAGTTTCCTTAAGTGTTAGCTGTGTCTTATAAAAAGCACAGAGGTTTTTTTTTTTTTTTTTTTAATTTGTCTTCTAAGTAGGGAGTTATTTCACTTGGATCTATTGTGATTACTGATATACTTACTGACAATTATAACTTATTTTTATCATGTAAGTTTGTACCTTCTGTTTGTCTCGCTATAAGAAGTTTCTCTTTTCTTCTTTCTTGCTTTTTGGGTAGTCATTACATTTTTTTTTTCATCCCATCCCTCAATTCAAAAATTAGGCTCTCTAGTTCTCTTTTTAAATGGCTATCTAGAAATTGCAAAATGCATACTTAACATAGTAAAGTCTAAAGCTAATATCTTTACCTTTCTGAAAAATACAAGGAATGATTAAGAACATGTTAACTCACATCACTGCCGTCCAATTTTTATTTTCTTATTTGGAATTCTAATCTCTCGTTCTTTAGCACCACTAATTGGAAGTTGTTATTATTATTACTATTATTTATATAGTCAATATAGTTGACCCTTGAAAAACACAGTTTTGAAAATATAAGCATGCAGGTTCATGGATTTTTTTGGATGAATACAGTACAGTACTATAAATGTATTTTCTCTTCCTTATGATTTTCTTAATAGCATTCTCTTTTCTGTAGCTTTCTTTATTGTAAGAATATAGTGGTGCCTGGGCAGCTCAGTCAGTTAAGCATCTGACTCTTGACTTGGGCTCAGGTCATGATCTCATGGTTGTGAGACGGAACCCCGCATCAAGCTCTGCACTGTCAGTGCTTGGGGTTCTCTCTCTCTCCCTCTCCTTCTGCCCCTCCCCGACTTGTGCTCCCTCTCTCAAAATAAATAAATAAACATTAAAAGAAAGAATACAGCATATAATGCCTATAACCTACAAGACATTTGTTAATCGACTATTTCCATTGTGGGTAAGGCTTCCAGTCAACAGCAGGCTATTAGTAGTTACAGATTATTACAAATGATTACATTTGTTTTACTCTTTTACATTATTTACATTTTTATTTGAACCACTTACAGATAAGTGGCAGACATGAGGCTATGGCATTAAATTTTTTTTTTCACGTTTATTTATTTTTGAGAGAAAGAGAGACAGAGTGTGAGTGGGGAAGGGGCAGAGACAGAGGGAGACATAGAATCCAAAGCAGGCTCCAGGCTCTGATCTATTAGCACTGAGCCCGACGCGGGGCTCGATCCCACGAACCTTGAGATCATGACCTGAGCCAAAGTTGGATACTTAACTGACTGAGCCACCCAGGTGCTCCAAAGCTATGACATTTTAAACAAAAGCCATCAATATTTTTAAAATAGACTTTATTTTTTTAGGGCAGTTTTAGATTTACAGGAAAATTGAGAAGGCAATCCAGAGTTCCCATATACTCAGCACCCAGTTTCTCCCCTGGTTAACATTACTTACAATTAATGAACCCATAGTGACACATTATAAATATTTTTAAAAATTTTTTAAATTTATTTTTGAGTCAGAGAAAAACAGAGCATGAATGGGGGAGGGTCAGAGAGAGGGAGACCCAGAATCTGAAGCAGGCTCCAGGCTCCAAGCTGTCAGCACAGAGCCCGACGCGGGACTTGAACTCACGGACTGTGAGATCATGACCTGAGCTGAGCTTAACCAACTGAGCCACCCAGGCGCCCCCCATAGTGACACATTATAATCAGCTGAACTCCATTGTTCATTTGGATTTCTTTAGTTTTTACATGATGCCTTCTTTTCTTTTCCAGGGGCCCATCCACAGCACCAGATAACATTTAGTTGTTATGTCTCTTTTAGGCTCCTCTTGGCTGTGACAATTTCATACTTTCCTTGTTTTTGATCATCTTGACAGTTCTGAGGAGGACTAGTCAGGTATTTTGTCACATGTCCCTCTACTGGAATTTATGTAATGTTTTTCTCGTGATGCTTTTGGTTTAAAAGAGGAAGATCATAGAAGCAAAGTGCCTTTTTTATCACATCATATCAAGGGTACGTGCTATTAACATGATTTGTCACTGTTGATGTTGACGTTGACCTGAGGAATACTGAGCTATTTAAGGCTTCTGTAAACATTATCAGTGGCTTTCAGGTCAGGTCAACTATTCTGAAAAAAATTTGGAAGTTCAATTATTTTTGAATCATCATGAGAATTGTACAATAGCCGGAAAATTCATTGCAATTCATGGAGCTGCCTATGTTGGTGGGAATTCCTAACTGTAACGTTAATTTTTTAAAAATATATTTTTAAAAATGTTTATTTCTTTTAAGAGAGAGAGAGCATGGGGGAAGGGCAGAGAGAGACAGAGAGAGAGAGAGAGAGAGAGAGAGAGAGAGAGAGAGAATCTCAAGCAGATTCTGTGTTGTGGGCGCAGAGCCCCATGCGGGGCTTGATCCTACAAACCATGAGATCGTGACCTGAACCAAAACAAAGAGTCAGATACTTAACTGACTGAGCCACCCAGGTGCCCCTATACTATAGGGTTAATTTTATACAGTGTGTTTTTGGTGATGCTATGAACTAGGAATTAATGTTAGAATGGAATGTCTTAACATCAATTCTTTTTTTTTTTTTTAATGTTTTTTTTGAGAGAGGGAGAGAGACAGAGCATGAGTGGGGAAGGGACAGAGAGAGAGAGAGAGAGAGAGAGAGAGGGAGACACAGAATCTGAAGCAGGCTCCAGGCTCCTAGCTGTCAGCACAGAGCCCGATGTAGGGCTCAAACCCACAGACCGCGAGATCATGACCTGAGCCAAAGCTGGACACTCAACTGACTGAGCCACCCAGGCGCCCCTTAAGATCAATTGTTTAAAACATTTAGCGTATTTGAACAGAGATTTTTGCATACATCCATTTGAAGCTAAGAGCATCTGTATCCATGTGTACCCCAGATGTAGCTTTTGATTTTCTAGAATTGTTTTGCAAAGGAACACATCTTATCTAAAAAATGATTTAGCTGTCTTGTTTCCACTATTCTTGTTTCCATTCACTGAATAAACCTTTTGGATGTGTGAGCAGTTACATTTCCCACATCCTACATTTGATCATTTCTAGGAGCCAATAAGAGAGTTCAGTGAAGTGAATTTGAATGATTTATTTGTACAGAAAGAATGAATTTCCTCTTAGCTGTACATCCGACACCCACACGATACCTCATCTCTGATGCTGGGAAGGAACATTTTCGGGAGAAATTTGATGCCCAATTAGTGTGTTTTAATTTGGTCAGTGGAATTTCCATCTGGCTCTGATGTGTATTCTGGAGGACAGACTAGCATGTAGTTATACAGCTTATTAGTTTGTGAGATGGGGTCATAGGTACAGAGGACATTTCACCGAAGCAGGATTTTATAGATTCTGAGTCCCCCCCTCTGTTTTTGTTAGCTACGGGATGCATGGGGACAGAGAAAGCACGTGATACTTATTTTGTGGTTAAACACCTTATTATCAACAGCTTAAAATAAGAAAGAACATCGCAAATATAGACTGCAGATAGAGGTCTTCTCTCCTGAAGAAACGAGACATTTACAGATACAATGATATCTCACAGATAGGTGCTTCCTTGCTGTAGAATTATTGGTCACAAAACTCGAGATAAATGTGTTTAGCAAACGTTACAAGTATGCTTTTAAAGTTTTATTGTTCCATATATGTAGAGGCAGGAGGAGGAGGAGGAAAAGGAGAGAGAGAGAGAGAGAGAGAGAGAGAGAGAGAGAATAAACATACTCATCTCTCACAACTTCCGTACGTTGGGAGTATGCACACGCTAATACTGAAAAGTCTAAGATAAAACATGCCTGTTTTAAAAGTGAAGTTTTCACTGCAGGGTTTGATTCCTGTTATGCTGAAAAAAAAACAGGAGATTCCAGATGTGAGGGATCCTGGCCAAAAACCTCTACTTTCTATTTTTTGCAATGTATCTTTTTAGTCCGTTTCAAGGAGACACATTCTCTGTTTTCTGGCCTTTGCTGTTCCATTTTTACACATGGGAGTACGATCTTAGCTGATGCTGTCCATGTCCCTTCTTCCTCTAAGAATTACACTCCCTTCCTGGGTCCTGTCAGCTCTACAGCTTTGTCACACTGTGGAGTAAGGTCCACGCTTGCTTGTCTCTTAATGTTGTCCCCGTCCTTTCTTTAGGCACCAAATTCGCACGTATTGTTTTGATTTTCTGTCTTTCACTCAAGTGTAGTAATAACAATCTCAAATGGTTGTGGGATGTCGGGTTTGAATGGGAAGGTCTCAGTGTGTTTCTGATGCCAGTTCTTAATTTCAGGTGATTAGCAGTTCATTATTTTTCGGAGAAAGAGGTGACTGTATCCATAAAACTGAAATCTTGACTTTTGCTCATGCACAATTCCAACTGTACTGAATCACGACTTCTAAGATACGAGCGAACAAAGCCCCAGGCAAAGAGGTTTACTGTGAAAACATTCAGTCCTTCCAGGAACAGGACCAGTAATTTCTCCATCTGTCTGTAGAGTCTGAACCTCAGGATGTCTGTGAACGTTTTATTGTGTTCCACTGTACCCTCGAGTCTGTTTCCCAGCCCTGGAAAATGCCCATGAGAAAGGGTTGTGCAACGCTAACTGTTAGTCACTTTATATTTCCTGAATATTCCCTATTTAATTCCCTGGTAGCTGGCAATAACATCTAGGATTTAAATTGCTGAAGGGAATTCGGGAAAACCCACATAAATGTCTAAGCTGGGGTTTGGCAGGCTCTGTGTTTTGGTGACATAACAATGCCATAACGAGAGATTTCATCTCCCAGAAGAGGCAAGAAATCCCTACCACCGCCAGACACCCACCGACACTCATCTGAGTCTGAGGATCATCGTTTGTTATAAATGGATTGGACATAGTTTTTCATCTGATTCCCGGGCTGCTGGAATAAAAATTTGGCCCTGGAGTCTAAATGCAACGAGATTTCTTTAGAAATGGGCACCTCGAAGGGTTAGGGGACTTTTTAGAAAGACAAAAGAAAATGTAGTACATTTTCTGTAAGAGTGGGCAACAGCTTCTCCCTGAAGAGCCCACCCCACTCCCTCCGGATGGAGTCTGAGCTCTGCGGAGGGACAGGCTGGGCCTGACCTAACCACCAAGCCAACCCCAGCAATCAGATGGGTGACGCTGTTCCCAGGCAGACTTTTCTCACACCCTAGAGGCTAATGGACGCGATTTTTAATTTAAGACAGCCTTTTACAAATTGAGGTATTATATTTACCCTTATCACTGCGAAAATGGTCTGACACGTCTTGAATTCAATTCCACCCTCCATGTTGTTTGATGCTTTATAAGTTTTGATTACTTCAAGGTACCTTTTCTCTTTGTTCATTTTTTGTCACTATTGTGGTTTGGACGTAAGAATATGACCGTGTGCTCTAGAATTTCATGGCTTTTTTAAAAAAGTTTATTTATTTATTTTGAGAGAGAGAGAGCAGAAGAGGGGCAGAGAGAAAGGGAGAGAGAGGGAATCCCAAGCAGGATCCACACTGTCAGCACAGAGCCCCAAGTGGGGCTCGAACCCACGAACCATGAGATCATGACCTGAGCCAAAATCAAGATTCGGACACTTAAGTGACTGAGCCACCCAGGCGCCCCTAGAATTTGATGACTTTTTATTGGGGAGACTTGTATACTCGCAAAGGAAGTTCATTGTCCCCCTCCTTACTGTTCTCCATTTATACCTGCTAATTCTGTTGTAGTTACTGAGTCATCCGGGCTACTGCTCTGTCTAGTTCTCTCATATTTAATTCTGTCACTTTGATAAATGTTGAGGTCACCAGTTGCCATTATATATACTACTGGCTGCATTTCGCCATGTAAGACATTTTTATTATATTTACTGGATCACGAATAGTATGTTGTGTTTTTACCATTTCATGGTCTACTATTACATGGTGATTTCATCTGCCCATGGTTCTTGCTGTGGCCTTGACTTAATCCGACACTGTGGCGGTCCGCTCAGCTCTTCTGAAATTTGTGCAGGTGTCATAGAGTGTAAGCCATCTCGTTCCTTCAAAGGTTGTCATCGGCTCCTGTTCACGTGACTCCTGTGGACAGGAGACTGTTGGGCTTTGCTGAAGGGTGAAGTCTAGTCTCTTTGCTCACTGTGTTGCAATGATATCTCCTCGTTTACGTCTGTAGCTCTAACTCCAGAAGTTGGACGTCTAGAAGGCATCTGTATTCATTTCCCAGGGCTGCCATCAAATGTACCGTAAGCCGGAAGGCTTAACACGAGAGAAGTCTGTTGTCACACAGCTTTGGAGGCCTCAAGTCCAGAATCGAGGGTCAGCAGGGCCACGCTCCTTCCGAGATCCTAGGAAGAATCCTTCCTGAAGCCCCCGATGGTGGCATTCCTTGACATCCTCAGTGCTCCTCGATGTGGAGCCGCATCTCTGCAATCTCTGCTTCATCTTCAGACGACCTCCTGGCAGAGACGTTAGTCATATTGGACTCTGGGCCCACCTTGCTGCGGTATGATCTCGTTGTAAGGAATTACACCTGTGAGACCCTTTCCCCGAATAAGATCACACCGTAAAGTACTGGGGGCCGGGACTTTAACATATCTTTTGGGGAAGGGGGACACAAAATTTTAATATAGTTTCCATGTCATTTTTTAACAGCTTTGTTGAGATACCTTCCTGTGTTTTTTTTTTTTTTGAGATAGTTTCTGCCTTATGACCTTTCCGTTTGCAGTGTCTTTGCCCCAGTCTTCTCATGGCCTCCTTAGATCCTTCAGCCCTGTGCTCGAAACTTCTTCAGAGAGGCCTCTTCCGACCACTCTATTTAAAATAGAAACTCTCATCCACTTACACATATCACTGTCTGACATTTTGTTTGTTTGATGACTGCACATTTCCCCAGGTACATTGTAGGACCTGGGAGAGCAAGAAATTCACCTTGCCGTTGACCAGATGTCCCCAGGGCCTAGAACGGTGCCTGGCACACAGTAGGCGTTCAGTTACTACGTGCTGAATTAACGTGAGAATGAATATAGTCGTAGCATCATCCGTTGCCCTGTCACTTTATTGACCAGAGTTCTGAATCAGAGTGAATAAGGAGGAGATATATGGGAATGTTTCAGTGGAGCATAGGACAACAGTATGTGCAAAGGGCCTGAGGCAAGAGTGTGCTTGGCATGTCCAAGTAACAACAGGGTTGGCCAGTGAGTGTAAGTGAGCAGTAGGAGATGTGATTGGAGAAAGGGACCATAGCAAGCCCCTCTCCCCCTTCCCACAATCTTTGGGCCACCTGACGTTCTTTCCCCGGCCGTTCTAATAGCTGTCTTCCCATTGTTGGGTGGTGGCTTAAATACCACCTCCCTCTCATATTCCACTGCCACAGCATCCCATAGCATTTATCACCAGCAGTGAATCCACTCACTTCTTTATTGTCTTGCCCTCCCACTGCCCCAACCGACACATAAGTGCTGCGTGAGTCAAGATCACGTTTGTTTGATAACTGTTGTGTTCCTGGCATCCAAAAAGGTGCACACTCCCGCAAGTGTTGGTTTGTTGGTCGAGTGAGTGAATGGAGACGAACTTCTATCAGTAAACGAGTTCCCCTGAGTTGCTTAATTCCGTTTATAAAAACACAGTTTATAAAAGTTTCTCTTTTCCGGGGAGGAAAGGAAGGGGAGAAGACAGAGAAAGGACAGCCATATCTAAATATGCTTCCATCTCCCATATTTATTACCAAATAATACAGTTATATTTCTGGCATTCTCCTGTGTGACATTTTTCTATTCCCATGACCTTAAGGCATATCCCTTATGAATTCTAAGGCTCTGTTTTCTCCCTTGCCACACGTATCGAGTTTTCACCCAACATATTTTCCCAGTGTTTTTTGATTGCTTTTCACATAGTCTTCATAACGTTAACCTTATAAGGCACATAAATATTTCTAATCTGAGTTTAAACAAGAAAAAAGTGAAGTTAATTGTCTACAGTTAGTAAGTCCATCGATGAACTCTTATTAAGTGGTCTGCTTACCAATTCCCCATATGTTTATTGTGTACATACTGGATACGAGGCACTGGTCTAGGCTCTGGGGGGTCCTGGAGTAAGCTGGGCAGGCAAGATGTGGTTCTTGCCTTCCCAAAGCTTCTGTTCTGGTATGAGGCAGACACTAAAGATTATTTTCGTGAGAAGTTATTGAATTAAATCTGCACGTAATTGATACACAAAAAAGGAGCATGTGACGCCATGAAGGCATCTTACGGTAGGACCTGAGCTAGTCTTAGGGGTCAAGGACACCTTCTCTGCTAGTTTCTTCTTCATTAAACATTCTTCTCTTTTCTGTTACGAACAGAACTCTGATTTCGTTTGAATGGGCAGAGTATCCATTTTTGTACTTCCCTTGCAACAAGGGATGGCCACTGGACATCGCACTGACTACTCACGTGGTGGAAGTGGACCGGATGGTGCCGGCTGAGTTTCGCTTTCCTGGAGTAGATTCCGCCTCTTCGTCCTCAGTCTTCTTTCCACTTCCTCCTTGATAGGGGTGTCCATGGAGTGATACGAAGACCGAAGTCACAAAGGCATTGACGATATCTGGGACCTGGTGCCCCTGCCCTTGGGTTTCTCTCCCCTGACCTCTTATGAGGTGCTAACAATGAGCCCCTATTTGATGAAGCCACAGAAGAGGGGTTTCTATATCACGCAGTTGGGTGCAGTTCCTAGTTAGTACAAGCTTACTTGAGGAAATGGCATGTGAACTGGGCTTTGAAGGATGTGAGTAGCAACTAACTGAGTCCCCACGTGCTCTGCGTAGACCTAGGGCTTTTGAACGCCGGGGTCTCATCATCTGAGTTGAAGGGTATCGGAGCACAATTTCTTAAATCCCTCTACAGTCGGACTTGACGATGAACCTGCCGGAGGAGAAAAGGCTAAAAGCAGCAGCTGGCCCTTGCCGTGAGCGAGGCACTGTTCTAAGGGGTTTACACCCGTGACCTCTTTCAGTTCTTACGACAACCCTTTGAGAGAGATGCCATTGTTGCCCCCTCTTAGTTGAGGAAGCCAAAGCGAAGACAGATCAAGCCAGTGGCTCAAGATTGCATAGCTACTAAACGGAAGAGCCAGGATTTGAAGCCCCGTAGTGTGGCTTGAGAGCCTGAGCTCATTAACTCGTGACGAGTGGGCTCGACCCCAACTTTGGACTCATTCCTGTCTCCTTCCCTTTGATGCCTAAGAGGCCTCCTGAGATGTGGTGCCCAAACAGGAGACGTTGACTGTTCTTACCGAGGAGTGCACTTCTGGATTCTGTTCCCCGCTAGCTGATAAGCCAGTTAGGCGATGGTTTTGGAGTACCTTCATGTCGGTCCTCTCCTTTTTGTCATTTCTGGGAACCCTACCGAACCAACTGTTCCCTCAAGTCATGAGACAGAGAAGTTCTTGATAGTCTTTTTTTAGACCCTGACCCAAAGTCTATCAATTTGTTCCAAGTTGCGATAAAAATATTTATCGCGAGTACACGCAGGTTGTTTTATTTTTTCCCTAGCTTCTGGACCGTTGCTTTGTCTGTCTTTTATCGCCGCTTCTGGGATGCCCCTGGAAACACGGAAGCTTCCCCCATTAGGTCCAGCTCAGGGTGCGACTCAGAAAGCAGTCCGTGGATTACTAGTTCAAAACCAGTTCGAAAACTGTTACTGGTCTGCGACAAGATGAGTAGGGAAATGAAGAGGCTTGGGCAATTTGGCATGGCCACAATGTCCAAGGATGTGGTCCCTGAGCTAGTCTTGTTGATGGGGCACGGGCCACTCCGGGTGCTGGCGCACTCACCCAATGAGCTGGTTGTCACGGGAGCTGTGTTACAGGCATGGGCAACAGGACCACTTGGTTCACGATGGATTGGAAATGAGAACAAAAGTGCTTCTTCACGACACATAGTTTGAGAATCCCACCTGTGACTCGCGGTGGCAGTTCAGCGTGTGTCATGTAATCTGGCCCTCGACCTTATTTTGGTAAGCTTTATTTTAGTCATTTCGTCTGTGGAGCCTCCTTGCCTGCTGTGACCACATCCTGTCCTTTCTTTCCTTCACATCTACCGTAGCACTTAGCAAGGTGCTGGCCACATACAGGAGACAAACCTCAAATGCTTTGGGGCGCCTGGGTGGCTCAGCCGGTTGAGCGTCCGACTCTTGATTTCAGCTCAGGTCACGATCCCAGGGTTGTGGGATGGAGATGGCAGTTCGAGTCTGCTTAGAATTCTCTCTCTCTCTCCCTCTCTCTCTGCCCCTCCCCTGCTCGCACTCTCCTCTCTCGCTCTTAAAAACAAAACAAGGGTTTTGTTGTGTTTTTGCCGTGATTCAAATCGTGAGATGAGGGGGGTTGGGCAGGCAGGAGAAGAGTCAACTTTGCCTCACTTGGTGCAAAAAAGGGAAAACAATCCCTCATAACTTAGATTTTAGAAATACAATGTCAAGGAAGAAGCTTCAGGAGTACTATTCTAATGACCATTTATGGGAGCCTGTCACACACCAGGCATTATGCTAGAGGCTGTATTTGTTTCCATATGTCGCTTCACTTAATCTTTGTACCATCTCGTGAAAGTAGGTATACTTACCGCCATTTTGCCAATGAAGGAGATGACGTATCAGAGAGGCTGAGTGACTTCTATGAGGTCACACAGCTACTGAGTGGTGGTGGTCTGTCTGACCTCAAAGCCTGTGTACTTTTTCCTCTTCCCATTATTCCTTAGTGACAGCATGTATTGCTAAAAGGGAAGGTTACCGGATTTAGAAAATGACTTCAAATGTATTTTAAATATCATTTTTCTAAAATAGCTTTTTTGGTGATTGTTGCTAGGTCTTAGATTTCCATTAAAGCCCTTTCTGTTCTATACTTTGCTTTTACTTCAGACGATGGGGCACAATCTTCCTCGGCCCAGGCCGTCCAGCAAATTACAATTCCAGATTCACCTTTGCACCTCTTGGGAGAAGACAGACAGAGCCTTCTTTTTGGGGTCTAATTAGGCCGCGGTTTAGCCTCGTGGCCCTGGAGGTCGGGACATGCAGCTTTAGCAGAGACGTGCATCCAGTCTCTGGGGACAGCAGGGTTGTTACATGTCTCCGTGGTGTATCATATGCAAACTGTGTCTAGGATGGGCTTTTCAGATGCCGCTTTCTGGCTCCTGGGGGAGAATTGTTTTCTAATGTTTTTAGTAGTTTCCAAAGGCTTTTATTCCCTAATTGAAATGTATAATTACCTGCTCCTAATTAAGTCCCGTCTCTGAAAACTGCGTCAACAACTTGCTGTCCGGAGTTAAGGTTGAACTGCAGTTTATACCAGACAAGGGCACATTTACTGAGGACCAAGAGATACTCAGCCTGGTTGTCTAATTATCCCCCCGAACACAGATTTATAATTGTATTCCGTTAGATGTATTTTAGAAAACTGAACTGACTGCCTTAGGGATGAAGCAGGTAAAATGGAGATTTTTATGGTAGTTTAATTTTTTTTTTTAACGTTTTATTTTATTTTTGAGACAGAGAGAGACAGAGCATGAACGGGGGAGGGTCAGAGAGAGGGCGACACAGAATCTGAAACAGGCTCCAGGCTCTGAGCTGTCAGCACAGAACCCGACGCGGGGCTCGAACTCATGGACCGCGAGATGACCTGAGCCGAAGTCGGCCACTTAACCGACTGAGCCACCCAGGCACCCCTCTTTTTTTTTTTAAGCTTATTTCTTTTGCGAGAGAGGGGTGGAGAGAGCATGAGAAGGGGAGGGGGAGAGAGAGAGAGAGAGGCAGAGAGAGAGAGAGAGAGAGAGAGAGAGAGAGAGAGAGAATCCCAAGCAGGCTCCACTGCCATCACAGAGCCCAATTCAGGGCTCGAACTCACAAACTGTGAGATCATGACCTGAGCCAAGACCAAGAGTTAGATGCTTAACGGCCTGAGCCACGCAGATGTCCCCCCCCTCCACTTTTTTGTTGTTTTTTTTTTTTTTTGTAAGTAGGCTCCACACCCAATGTGGGGCTTGAACTCACAACCATGAAATCAAGAGGCGCATGCTCTTAACTACTGAGCCAGCCAGGCGCCCCAGTATTTGAATTTCTAAAGCAGAATCAGGTCTGTACTTTACGAACTATTTTTATGTTTAAAAAAAAAACAAGGTTACTAGGAAGTGTCTATCCTCAGTGTGAGTTCGTCGGTCCCTAACACATTCCAAGGAAATTTGATTGTGGAAAGGTGTTTGAGAAACGACGTCTTTTATATTTTGTTTATGTTGCGGTGATCTAGTAATTAAATGAGAAAGCAGACTAATAGTGACTCAGGATTCTAATATGAAGAGGAGAGACATAAGGAAGGAAGAAAGTAAATTGCCCTCTTCAGAACGTAAGCAGTCTGCTGAAAAGTAGTTTACCTAGCATAGCATCTCTCAAATAGATGTGTGTGTACTTAAGTAATTTTTCTTTAGCCAATTATCTCTGTCACATCACTGTTTCTTTAATCCCTCACATCTAATTGCTGATCAAAGCCTAAATTCCAACTGCTAAATGAAGCTCTTAATCTGTCCCTTCCTCTCCAATCCTGCCGCCCTATAGCTACTTTACCTCTTGTTCCTGAACTGGTCTCCCTTGACCCCAGGATCTTCCACTCCCTGATCCGACTTTTGTCCTGGTACCATAGTGGTGGCTTATTCGAAAACATGTACTTGATCATGTCACTCTACCACTGAAAAGCCTTCATTTCTCACAGGAAGAAGGAGGAGGAGGAGGAGGAGGAAGAGAAAGAGAAGGAGGAGGAAGAGGAGGAGAAGGGGAGGAAGAGTGGGAGGAAGGAGGGAGGGGGAGGAGGAGGAGGGAGGAGGAGGAAGAAGAGAAGGAGAAAGGAGGAGGAGGAGGGAGGAGGAGGAGGAAGAGTGGGAGGAAAGGGGGCAGGGGAGAAGGAGGAGAAGAGAAAGACAAGGTAGAACACAGACACGAAAGAAAGATAAAGACAAGATGGAGCACAGAGCCCCTGCTTCATGATCCTTGTCCACCTTTCCTCTAGCATCCCTGCTATTCTAGCCTCAGGGCCGAGCCGGTGGCTCCTAGGTCTCTCCTTCAATCAAACTGCTCTTGGTCGAGGATGCTCTTCGCCAGCCTGCCCCCGATCCCCAGGTGTTGGCATCGGCTCCTCCTCGGTAAGCCTTCCCTGACAATCTCTTCCTGCTCCCTCTGCTTCTACTTAACAACAATCCCAATGTGTTTTCAATATCAGTCTGGGTGCCATCTATTTTAATTATTATGTTTTTATCTAATTATTTTATTTTATTATTTTTAAAGGTTTATGTATTTATTTTGAGAGAGACAGAGACAGCGTGAGCAGGGGAGGGGCAGAGGGAGAAGAGAGAGAGAATCCTGGGCAGGCCCTGCCATGTCAGCACAGATCTCGATGTGGGGCTCGAACTCATGAACTGTGAGATCATGACTGGATCTGAAACCGAGAGTCAGACGCTTAACCGACTGAGCCACCCAGGTGCCCCTAATCCTTGTATTTTAATGACAGTGTGCTGACCACCTAGATTTGGATTCTAGCTTTGCATTTCCTAGCGGGGTTAAGTTGACAAATGGCTTAAGTTCTCTGTACTTGGGTTTACTCGTTTGTAAGGTGGGGATATTAATAGTGCCCACTTCTTGGGACTGTAGTGGAGATCCAGGGAATTAATGTGTGCAAAGCTTTTGGAACCCTGGCTGGGACAAGCTGGGTGCTTCACTGATTCCACGGAAAAGCCATTATGTGAGTTGCATAGATCTTATTTGAGAAAATACTTTAAAGGCATTTTGTTTCTGCTCTTGTGCTTACTTGTGAGGTAAATAATTGGATAATATTAAAATCTGTAGCAACAACTTGCTATTTGTCCGTAGAGTTCTTAGAAAAACGAGAAACTTTTCAAATAAAGGACTATTACACTCCTGGGCAGAGAAGTTTACTGTGGTTTGAATATTAGTAATTTTAGTCAGAGCCTTGACTGATCGGCAGCTTATCTGCAATTTACCCAACTCCTTTACTCGGTTTCTGAGTTGCCCTAACCACACAGCAGAACCATAGGTAAGAAGCAAAGATTTCTGGTGTTGGTTCCTGGACCATGCGATTCAGGGAACGGCCGTGAGGTTCCTCGTTTTCTGTGGGTGATTCTATTTTTCACCATTATAAATGATGCTGAAGTGAACATCCTTTACCCAAAAGTCTTGTGCACCTTTAATTATGTCCTTAGAGCAAGTTGATCAAAGTAGAATGGTTGAGTCAAAGGAAATAAATGGATATTAGTTATTAGCTTACCTTCCAAACAAGGTTTTATTCATTGATACTCCTACCCATCGCACTTGGAAGTGTCCCATCTCCTCCACACTTCTGCTATCGCTGAGTATTCATCTCGTTTTCTTTTTTTAATATTTATTTATTTTTGAGAGAGAGAGACAGAGACAAAGTGTGAGCGGGGAAGGGGCAGAGAGAGACAGACACTGAATCCAAAGCGGGCTCCAGGCTCCGAGCTGTCAGCACAGAGCCTGATGCGGGGCTCGAACTCACAGGCTGTGAGATGATGACCTGAGCCGAAGTCGGACGCTCAACTGACTGAGCCACCCAGGCACCACTTTATCTTGGTTGTTGTTGTTGTTGTTGTTGTTGTTGTTGTTGTTGTTGTTTTTAATTATTCCCTTCCTTCATAAGCCAGAGGAAAGAAAAGACATACGAAGAAGGTGTTTTGCTCATACAGGGGAGGAGATATTCACCCTCATGTCTCTTCCTTATTCATCTGTAATAAAAGATTCATTTTTAATAAGAGACTTATGCTTTAGACTCCACTCTTTTTCTGACCGCAGACTTTTTTTTTTTTTTTAATTTTTTTTTTTCAACGTTTATTTATTTTTGGGACAGAGAGAGACAGAGCATGAACGGGCGAGGGGCAGAGAGAGAGGGAGACACAGAATTGGAAACAGGCTCCAGGCTCCGAGCCATCAGCCCAGAGCCTGACGCGGGGCTCGAACTCATGGACCGCGAGATCGTGACCTGGCTGAAGTCGGACGCTTAACCGACTGCGCCACCCAGGCGCCCCATGACCGCAGACTTTTAATAATCAAAACTTTTCATACTCAGTACGTTTCTTTTAAATCTTCATAAATGAGGTGCAAGAACAGAAACCTGCTAATACTGCCACTGTGTGTAGTTAAGTATGGATAAGAAGAATCGCAAAGACTTTAAACTCCAGAATCCCAAGACTCACTTTAAAAAAGGGACGTGAGGAATACCAAAAACAGTGGGAATCAAAGAAGCTCAGCCTGGAGCTTAATATTTTCACTTATTGGATAGGACTGCGTAGAGTTTAATGAGTGATAGCCTTTAATTTCTTTAAAGTTTTTATTTATTTTGAGAGAGAGAGAGAGCACAAGCAGGGGAGGGTCAGAGAGAAGGAGCGAGAGAGAGAATCCCAAGCAGGCTCCACACCGTCAGCATGGAACCTCATGGGGGGCTCGAACCCGCGAACTGTGAGATCATGATCTGAACTGAAATCAAGAGTCAGACGCTCGACTGACGGAGCCACCCAGCTGCCCCCAGAGACCTCTGACATACATGGTTTGTGGAGTGACTCAAGATCTCTTGGTGACATTGTTTGAAAAATGATCAGAACAGTTAATTTTATTCTCTTTTTATGCAAAAAGGTGTGAATTAGAAAGATTAATACATAACTTTGTGATGATTGGTGGTACTATTTATTACTTCCTACAGTTTTCTTATTAGGTACTCTCTGGAATGATTATGTACGTATAAGGGAACGTTAATGCATATTTATAGCTAAAAAGTAGTTAGACATGGGGATTTTCACTCTACTGTATATGTATATATATTTTTTTCACTATGTATATGTATGTATACATACACGTATATATACATATATATTTTTTGAAAGAAAGGACCTTCATGATGTTCGAAAGTAAAAATCTGGGGACCTGCGGGAGGGAAGGAAGGGGTTAAACATGGCAGGAGAGTGCCAGGACAGGCCTCTGGGCTGACTTCTCATTAGGAAATCTGGTATTTCAGGTTGGACTGGGCCTTGGGAATGGCTGCTCCTTTGTTCAAGAGAAAAAGTGCATTAGATCTGGCTGCACTTTCAGACCTGACCTGTAGAAAATGAATTCTAGAACTTTCTAGGGTCCGAAAGTGAGGCGGCCCTGCAGTACCTTGAACAGAGGTAACCCCTTGAATCGGAGATGGTGTCCCTGATCCTCAGGTTACGCACACTGACAGCCTGGACACCCATGGTGGTGATTAACCCTACAGATCCCTCCATTCCCCTCACATTTATTTTGAGATTCGCTCTTTAGTAAAAGTGACCTTGACGCTGGCGGGGGTTTTTTTTTTTTTTTTTCTTCAGATTTTATTTATTTATTTATTTATTTATTTATTTATTTATTTATTTATATTATGAAATTTATTGCCAAATTGGTTTCCATACGACACCCGGTGCTCATCCCAACAGATGCCTCCATGCCCCTCTCCCACTTTCCCCTCCCTCCCACTCCCCATCAACCCTCAGTTTTTATTTCAAGTGCTTTTGTTTTCATAGCTCGGGATACATTTATTTATATTTTTCTGATGACCAGCCTCTGTGCGTGGACTCCTTCTTGCGCCGTTTTTTCAAAAAGTTGCTTCGTTTAACCTGTGACTAATTGGTTAGATAAAACCAGCATATGTACTCCTAGAACCTAGGAGTACATTTCGTCCCAGGCCTGGGAAGGAGGAGTAAATTGCACTTCATTCCTGTCATTCTTTCTCTTTCCCTTTCCTGCAAAATTATCATCCAAAGTCGTGTTGGAAAATTCTTCATTTGTCTATCAGAGCTCTTTCATTCATTCGTGTATTATTCCGTAAATCTCCCCCCCCCAGCCAGCTCCTGGACTCCAAGTGTCCTCCCACCCACACACAGCACAGGAAGGGAAGCTTCTCTAGGAGAAGAAACCGGTCAGAAAGGAAAGAGTAAGGAGTATGGAATGTCAACTAAGTGAAAAATTTGTGATTTGGTGGAGAGAACAACGGACCAGAGTCTAACACGTGGGTTCTAGGCTTAGCTTCCTACTGATGGGTTGTGTGAAATTGTACAATTGCATCTCATGTCTTGAGTCCCCACCTCCTTAGCTTGTAAAATGGGGTGGCCTGCTTCCCTAAGATGGTTGTGGGAATCCGATGAGACACTGCACGCCAAGGCTCTCTGTAAATGCTCAGGCTCTTTCTGAGAGCACGGCGCCATCATTATTCCGGAAGCAAAACATGAGACAGGCAGGACAGGGAGTCCGTGTTGGGAATTCATTCTGGAGCGAGGTCGCAGCAGTCATTGGGAAGAGTCTTCCTTGGGCAATTTCATATTTACTTATTTACGTAATCTCTACACCCAACGTGGGGCTCGAACTCATGACCCTGAGATCAAGACTCGCTTGCTCTTCTGACTGAGCCAGCCAGGTGCCCCATTCCATGGGTAACTTAAATGACAATGCCTCAAGGAATTTTCTCCGGCTCTACCCCGCCCCAAGTCCAGGTTGTGCCCCTGACATGGGCCCCTAACACTGTATACTTTTTGTCCCCGAGCATTTCGCAGGTAGCGGTACCAGTGTCTGTCTACGAGACCGTAAGCCCGTCGTAGTCAGGGCCTTCTCTCATCCATCACGATGCCCACAGATCCTGGCGCTGTGTCCATAGGGACAGTAAGTAGACAAGTGGAAGTATTTCTCACGAGCGAAGACCCGGACGAGGCATTCGGTCAGACAGCATGACACGTCAAAGGATTCTGCTGGGCACTCACGCTGTGTGGGAAAGTCAGCAGATTGAAACCAGGTTTGGGGTCCAGAAGGCCAGTCTTAAGTCCTAGTAGTCTCACTGCTCAGCTATATTATCACCAAGACATCCCTGTGCTATCGGGAAGCGTGCTGTCGCTTCTCAGCTTCCGAGAGTGACAACCTCTCTGTGCTTCAATATCCTCACTTGAAAAATGGAGCAAAAAAGCACCTTCAAATGCCTCATCTTCTTCAGCCACGTTAAGACGCGGTTTGGGTTTTTGTTCGCGGCGCCGTAAGCAAATGCTGTAAAGCGTTTTGTTTGGTTTTCATTTTCCTGAAAAATGACAACATTCAGATACTTTGCAGCATTTCTCAAATGATGGGTAACATTGTAAGAAGAGCCTTGTCCTTTTTCTCTTGGCTCATCTGTAACTCCAGACTTCCTGTTTGTTCGGGTTGTCGGATGGCTTGGAATCCTGGAGGTTTGAGGGAAGCCGAGTACCTGAATAAGGCTAATGACTTTGTAGAAGCCCATACTTCTTGCCTAGTGCTCACCTCCCGCTGCCACTAGCCTCGCACAAGCCGCTGTCATCTCTGGCCTCCTAACGTACTTCCGCTTCTTGCCTCCAACCCACTTTTCACAGCACAGAGCAGACGTTCCCCGAACGCACATCTGACCGTACCCCTACTGACCGAGAGCCCTTCGGGAGGCCCCCCCGGCTGGCCAGGGCTCTTTCTCAGGATCCTCCTCTTCTCTGTCAGTCTGTCTGTCTCTCTCTCTGTCTGTCGCACTCTCTCTGTCGCTTTCGGTTCTTCCAACCAGCTGGACTCAGTTCTCTCCACCCCAGACCTAGTTCTGCTCTTCCTTCTGCATGGAATATTCTCTTCTGTCTTTGCCTGGCCAACGGTACTATCGTTCGGGTCTCAGTTTTAATGGCACTTCTTGGTGGTGCACCTTTCCTGACCCCCTAGACCAGACTGAGCATCCTTGTGATGTGATCCTGACTCTTCCTCTGGCCTGCCTCGTCCCGTAGAGCTGTCTGTAAACTCCGTGAAGGCAGGAGCAAGCTTCTGCTGTTCACCTCTGCACCTCCAGGACCTGCCGGGTGCCGTGTGCCTCGCGTAGATGGCGTGCCTCAGGTAGGAGTGTGCCTGTAATGGGTTCATTTTAATAGAAAGGGTAGTTCCAGGGTGCCCGGGTGGTTCAGTCAGTTGAGTGTCTGACTTCGGCTCAGATCATGGTTTCACGGTTTGTGAGTTCGAGCTTCGCATCGGGCTCGCTGCTGTCAGTGCTGAGCCTGCTTCCTGTCAAATCCTCTGTCCCCCCTCTCTGCCCCTCCCCTCTCGTGTTCTCTCAAAAATAAATAAAACATTTTTTTTTTTTTTTTTTTTAAAGAAAGGATAGTGCCACCTAGCCAAAGCTGTATCATTTACTCTTCCACTATGGTGCTCATTCAGTTGTTAATCCTCTACTCTGCCCGGCACTGTTCTGAGGGCGGGGCATACAGCACTGAACAACACAGCTATAGATTGAGCTGGAAGGACATTTCAGGCAGAAGGGAAGCCTGCAAAGCAGGTGGTTTCAAGGAACAGCTCGAAGGGCGGGCGGGAGGCTGGAGAACCACGGGCCAGGAGAAGGAGGAAGGAGTGAGGACTTTGAACTTTACTCAGCCGGGGGTCTGAGCAGAGGAGGTAGGGGAAATCCAACTGACTTACGTTTTAAAAGGATCCCTCTGACCTATGTATAGATTACTGACTCAAGGGAGATAAGGCAGAAAGCCAGGACGCTAGTTAAGGAAGCTTTTCGAAAATCCAGGCGGAAGGATGTCAGTGACTTGACCCAGCAGCTAGCAGTGGGGGTGGTGAGAAACAGTTAGCTTCTAGATATGTTTTGAAGGACGGGCCAAGAGGATTTGCTGATGGGCTGGATGTGGGATGTGGGGAAAGCGGGTGGCAAGGATGGCACCCAGGGGCTTTGGCCTGGGTGACCAGAAGGATGGAGCTGCTGGTAAGGGGACGGGCAGGTGGCCGGTAGAGCAGGTTTCAGGGGACAGATGAGGAGCTCAGCTTCCACATACTTAAGATGCCTATTAGTTACCGGCGTGTTTTTGCGTCCTAAAGTAATGCATCTAAGATGGCAATTTTCTTTCATCTATATATGGAAATAATGAAATACCATACATTTCCCCCCCCACCCCCCCCACCCCCGAAATGGAAACGCAAGATTGCCCTTTTCTGTAAAATTCTATGCCTGGCCATTTCCTGTGCGGGTGTACTAGGATTCCATGTTTCTTAGAGTAGACGTCAACCCGGATCCTGTTTTAGAACCAGTAGAATTGTGCACCGCTGATGTTTGCTTCACTGTATAAGGTATTTATTTACTTTTTTTTAAAGTTTATTTATTTTGGGAGAGAAGGTGTGAGCAGGGGAGGGGCAGAGAGAGAGGGAGAAAGAAAGAATCCCCAGCAGGCTCCGAGCTGTCATCGTGACCTGAGCCGAAATCAAGACCCGGATGCTTAACCAACTGAGCCACCCAGGCACCCCTAAGAAACTTATTTTTATAGTAAGCCTGTTGGGGAAAAAAAACAGGTAACTTACTCTATTTCCATACCTGAGTAAAATGATGCTAAGTACAATTTATCCAATGACTGAGGTCTTGGGTCACCACTTAGAATAAGCAGCTGCCCGCTGGGCACGCTGAGGGCCTCCTATGTGCTGGTAGCTCTCCTCACTGTCACCGTGACAGGTATGTGAGGTCCCTTGGGTGAGTTGGAGTTTTTGCCATGGTGTTCGCTCATTCTATCCTTCCCGCGTTTTTTCCTTGTGTCCACCCCCCCCCCCACACACATACACACAGATGATATTTTTAGCACACTTGCTTTCCATTTCTGTTCTGACTGTTGAAATACCTTTTTCTTTTCCTTTCTCTTCTCCTTGCCTTCCCGGCGAGTTCCAATGAGCTGAGGTTGCCATATGTGATTTTTAGATAAGTGGGCTGTTACTAGTTTTGCATTTTCCCTTCTGCAACTTTAACTTTTTGCCTGAGCTGCTGGGGGCCATACTTACAGGCCAAGGGCCGGGTTGATGCTGAAAAGCTACTAGTGGATGACATCTGACAAGATACAGATAATCAAGAGTATAGTCATGACTGTGTCTATGCAGAACTGGTCTGTATCCTTTTCCTCGGCTAGATAAGTTTTATATACTCCCCCCAAGAATAGCATTCTTTTTTTAAAAACATTTTTAAAAGTTTATTTATTTTGAGAGAGAGAAAGTACACACAAGCTGAGGAGGGGCATAGAGAGAGAGGGAGAGAGAGAATCCCAAACAGGTTCCATGCCGTCAGCACAGAGCCCAACGCAGGGCTCGATCCCACGAACCATGAGATCATGACCTGAGCCGAGATCAAGAGTCAGATGCTTACCCAACTGAGCCATCCCGGTGCCCCACCCCCCAGGAATAGTATTTTTTACAGAAGATGCCCCAATTCGTGTTGTTGATAACTAACACCGAGCAGAAAGAGCCATTTCAGAGGAAGAGTTTTCGAAACTGGAAGACTGTGTATGCCGTGAAAATTAATGTTAATGAAGTCAGATATGTTGCTAGATATTTGTATCCAGAAAAATGGATTTATCACTGAGTCAACTTAAAAAATTTTTGCCTGGTCCAAAAATTTCTTTTAATTCTAACCACCGAATGACAAAGCATAGTTCCTAGAATGGATGCGTTCTTGCAACAGCTGGTTTTCTCGGATTATTCAGGATTTTTGCTGGAATCCAAGTGGTCTTTCAAGAGAACCGATGATTTTCTGATGAAGCTGTTCGCACGCTTTTGAAGCCAGGAGAAGGGGTGAGCATTAGTTTGCATTCTCTTCGGCCATAGAATTCTCTCTCGGGCCAGCAGTGTTTGATGAAGGCTGGATTACCATTTCAGTTGTATAGACAACAAGACTGAATGAAGGTATGAAATTGTCTTGGTAAGACGAAGTGAAATCGGGCCACCACACAAGCAAACATGGACATCACCTGTATCTGGAGTCTCAAAGCCATGAAATACGCGGTGTTTGAAAGGATACGAGAAATACATTGATTTGATTTGACTTTTTTCTTTTTGGCCATCCTTCGTGTTACAAAACAGTTGAAGCTTAGTATCATTTCAAGCACGGAGTGTAAAGTGATCGGTGAGGCTGGATGGAGGAAGGGCAAGAGAAATGAATGTGAAGGACAAAAAAAAAAAAAAAAAAAAACAACCAAAAAACCACATATCCTTCGAAGACCTCTCTGTCTCGAGGACAGAAAATGCCTTGGCAGTCGCGATTTTTGTGCAGTCAGAAGGGAGCTGATTTCCCAGCTGTTCTGGTGTATTTTCCTTATTAGTCTTTGCTCCCACGGTCTAAAAGCAAATACCGGATCTAAGCGCCTACAGTACTGGTCAAGGACTGCAGCTTCCCTTGTGTGTGACTCACAGGCGCGAGCAAACCACCTACTGTAACAGCTGGCCCCAGACCCTGGCCCGGCCACAGCGCAGCAGCTGCTTTGCTGGACCCCTGCTTGCTTGGCTATTAACTGTCTTAACTGTTGCTCTTACCTTTATGGGCTGTGGTAAAGGCGGGCTTTATTTATTTATGTTTGTTTGTTTTTGAGAGAGAGAGCGCGTGCGCGCGCGAACAAGTGAGGGAGGGACAGAGAGAGAGAGGGAGACACAGAGTCCAAAGCAGGCTCCAGACTCCGAGCTGTCAGCACAGAGCCTGACATGGGGCTTGAAGTCACAAACCGTGAGATCATGACCTGAGCCAAAGTCGGACGCTTAACCAACTGAGCCACCCAGGTGCGCCAAAGGTGGGCTTTAGATACATAGACCCTTGGGTCCATTTTTCCCCAATTGTATTTCTCGGTTCTTACTAAAAGATCTCAGCGGTCACCTGGAAGCGTAATTTCGATTTAGGATGCTAGAAGGCCGGTCATCATTTACAACGGCCCTTCGTGTGCTTTTCTGCATGCGTGATTACTTTCTTGATGAACAAAGGTTACGCTTAGTTTCAGGCTTGGTTATTATTTGTTACTATTACGATCAGTATGAGGTGAACCACCTTTATAAGAACTTGTTTCCTTTTTTTTAATGTTTATTTTTGAGAGAGAGACAGAGGGCAGGCGGGGAGGGGCAGAGAGAGAAGGAGACACAGAATCCGGAAGAGGCACCACGCTCCGAGGTGTCAGCGCAGATCCTGACGGGGGGCTGGAACTCACAAACTGTGAGAACGTGACCTGGGCCGAAGTCGGACGCTTAACTGACTGCGCCACCCAGGCGCCCCTAGAAGAACTAGTTTCTTAAAACGGGTTGGCATCTTGCTGCGTTTCTTTGACTCTCTGCCATACCTCTCCTCTGCCCAGAGGACCATCCTCGAGGCTTCACTAGAGAAAGGGAGAGCACAGCACCTGGCCTCAGAAAGCCTCCAAACCGGTTGTGGCTACAGATTAACATGTGAGAATCAAAGATTCCCAAAGGAAGGCAAATCAGATGCAGTTTCAGAGAAAGGAGAGATTTTTTTTTTTTGCGGGGCAGGTCAGTCTGTGCCCCAGTGCTTGTGTCTTGCAGCCTTGTGTTTTACTGGGTATTAGTATTGTTTCGCAAAAGTTGTTCTGGAGTCACACGCCATGGTGTTTTCATCTTTCGATCTCCCTATTCTAGTACATTCCGGCCCCTGCACGGGACACGACACTTTACACATAACACGTGCCAGGTAAACATTTGCTGACATAATTGAATGGGAGAAGGCTTTGCGGAAAAGGCAGAGCTTGGGCCCAGCTTTAGATAGAGAGGGGAGGTTGGCCAGTGACATACTCTGCCTGTATATGAGTCATTCGTTCTGGGCCTTGAGGAAGAACTTGCAAAGTCAAAACAGAGCGGAGACACATGCCAGGTCGAAAGAGTAACTACGGCAGAGCAGAGGGTTAGTGTATGAAATATGGGGTCAAGGAGGAGGCCTGGCAAGACGTTGTTCTGGAGAATAACTGGGACGGAAGGGTAGCCAGATACAACAGCAGGGCCCCTCGGAGGTGCTGTGGGTGGAGGGACACCAAAGTAATAGTCTTCCTCTCCCCATCTCATGCTGAGGACACACTTTTCATTTGCACCTTAGCGCATTTATTGTAGTCTTCAGGGGTGGGCGGGACCTGTCAACGTGATGTCGTATTTCCCTTCTTTACATGCGGATGTTTTATGTGTTAATCAGTTTGTTCTGGAATTGGTTTGTTTTCAGGAAAGAGGTGGAACGCATTTTGAAACACCATTTGAAAATTGGATTGAGAACATTAAAGTTTCTTTTTTTCTTCTTTTCTGTTTTTCCTGGGACCCTGGATGACTTTATAGAGATGCCATGGATGAAGAAAAGGAATTCTTGAAAACTAGAAAGCTACCTAGCTTGGGGCAAAGCAGGAAAAAACCAGCAGGTTTGGGGAAATGAGGGTTTCTGCGCTGGCCATCGAAGAAGGGACAGAAATTGCCATTTGAAATCAGGGCTCAAGTGTGAGAGAAGTCAGGGCTGGAAAGAGATTTAACCGTGGAAGTGGTAGTTAGAAATGGGGGACCGTGCCTGGGGAGAGCAGGTGGAATGGAGTTCTTTTTTTTTTAAAGTTTTACTTTTGAGAGAGAGAGAGAGAGTGAGAGAGAGAGAGAGAGACAGAGTGTGAATGGGGGAGGAGCAGAGAGAGGGAGACACAGGATCCGAAGCAGGCTCCAGGCTCCGAGCTGTCAGCACAGAGCCCGACGCGGGGCTCAAACTCACGAACCGCGAGATCATGACCCGAGCCGAAGTCGGACGCTTAACCGACTGAGCCACCCACGCACCCCTGGAATGGGGTCCTTAACTGGGATCCAGAGTGGCTCTGGTGATTGAAGGTCAGGGCTCTATAGCCACCGGAAGTTATGAGCAATATTTTCTTTGAGTTTCCACTTGGCGTGTTGGGATGGAGTGTGTTTGTAACTTTGGTCAGGTTCTTAGAGGTATCCAAAGGTTAAGAAATCGCTGATGTAGAATGGGAAGAGGAGAGCAAGAAGGTCGGAACTCTGAGGGGAAATCAACATTTAAGGAGTTCTCAGAGAAGAGCCAGGGGAAAAGGCCAAAGAGATTGGGAAGGCAGAAATCTATCTGGGAAGTCAGGCGGATGCGGAAGGCAACGGAATGCGTGGGCGCAGGGCAACAAGGTTAAATGGTATCTTAAGGTCGGGTAGGGCTAAAAGAATGTGTTCGATTGACCATTAGGAAGTCATTGGTGACTTTCAGGAGAGCGGTGTAAATGGAGGCACATTGTGATAAGTGGAGGATGGGACTCAGGGAGCCGGGAAGTTAAGTCCAGCTTTCTCTTTCTGGAAGGTTAACATTTGACAAGAGTGAATATTTACTGAGTTCCTGAGAAGGGCTGGAACTTGGCCATTCACTGCAGACATAAATGTGAGCAAGGTAACATAGGCTTTGCTCTCACGGATCTCAGGGTCTCGTGGGAGAGCTGGGCATTAATCAAATAATGTCGCAGAGTAAGCATGTCCTCACAAACTGGGAAGAGATGTGGTGCCCGGCACTGAAGCGTGACCTAATCTGGGGTCAAAGAACGACCCCTGAAGAAGTGAGCTTTGAGCTCAGACCTGAAGGGTGAATAGGAGTGAAATAGTGAAGAGAACGGGGCCAGAGAGCAGAACATCCTAGGCAGTGAGGGAAGCAAGAATGAAGTGTACAGAGAGCGAGGGAAGCCCAGCGACAGGAGTCCATGCTGGGTCTTTTAAATGAGCATAAAGATCTGCGTCTAAGAACATTCAGGAAACTGCTAACCTGTGGATGGCTGCGCACGGTTTTGCATTTCAAAACCAAATAGAAGGAGCCAGGTGAGGAATAATGGTACAACCTTGGACCAGCATCCTGGCAAAGAAGATGGAGAGGGGCAGAGGGTTTCAGGAATCATGCAGGAGCTGAAATAGCACCAGAAGGTAGGAGAGAGAACGCTACCTTCTCTCTTAACGAGTGCTTTAGGAGGTCCTGCGAAAAGTAAAGTTCTCCTTCAGGTGCTGAATACCGAAGCTCATTTGTAGGCAAAGGGAAAGAGCAGTGGAGAGAGCGAGCTTGAAGACATACAAACCCGGAGGGGACACACGGGCTACTAGAATCGGAAACACTGTTCTCTAAATCGCGAAGACGGGGCTGGTGAATATACAGGTGTGGTTACAGGTAGAAAGGAGGCAAACCGAGACATGAAGACTTGGTTCATGAAGGGGGGCTTGTGTCTGCTTTGGGGTGACGCTGTGACCCCCCGCCCCCAACTAATAGGCTAGCATCAGGCTCTGGAGGATGAACAGCAAGAAACTCTAAGACAGTTCACGGAAGGGACACATTTACCATTTGTGTACGTGCACAAACACTGTGTGACCCTCACAGTACCTCTTGGAGCCCATGTTTCAGTTTTATGGTTAGAAACAGGCAGGGAGCTTTAAATGTGCAAATGTCCAACAGCTGTCTCGAGCTGTGTTCAAAAATCTCCTTTTCCCCCCGAATCCATGAGGTGGTTTGCCCAACATTGGGTGGTGGGTGTCGTACAATAAGGAAAAGCACAAATCTCAGACACTCGAGTTGTTACTCAGGAGAACCGGATCATTGTCTTACAGACAAGGCACCCACACAAGTCTGAATTTCAAATGACATGTTAACTTGCATTTCATGCTAACAATTAAGTCCTCCCATAGGGACACCAGTGAGGCCAATCAGTCTTTAAAACTCAACACTGATTTTGGGGCACCTGCGTGGTTCAGTTGGTTACGTGTCCGAATCTTTGACTTCGACTCAGGTCATGATCTCATGGTTTGTGAGTTCAAGCCCCGCTTCGGGCTCTGCACTGACAGCTCAGAGCCTGCTTGGGATTCTCTCTCTCTCCCTCCCTCTCTCTCTGCCCCTCCCCTGCTTGTTCTCTTTCTCTAAATAAATAAATAAACTTAAAAAAAAAATCAACACTGATTTTAAGTTTAGTAAGAAAGATGCAGTGAGAACTCGTATGTCAGATCTCTCGAGTCGAATGTGCCTATTTAATGTCCTAGCTCAGAAAAAGAGATCGGGTTTTTAGTTGACCTTTAAGAAAATGATCTGAGGGATTCATGTTTATCCGTCCCCCTTTCTGGTACAGTTGTGGGAAACTTGGACTCTTTCAACACATCAGATCCAACTGCAGAATCTCCGAGTGAATCTACGTGTTTGTGACGACTCAGGCTGCAGGGGTACGGCTTTGTCACAAAATGCTTTTCTCTCTTCGAGAAAAATGTGTATCCTCTGAGCATGGTAGGAACGCGCCATGTTGAATTAGAAATGAGCAGTGCGGTACCGGCTGGAGGAGTAGCTCTGCTTGGCGATCTTGAAATAAATGCAGCTGGGATAATTTTCGATTCAACCCTTGGCAAACCTTCGGTGTGTACAAGAAAAAAAAAAGCTGTGGAGGAGGCTTAACTGCTGTAGGCGCTCAGCAGCCATCACTCTCTCTCTCGAAGTTTCCAGTAAACGGTAGGTCAGCTCTGCGTCCTGCTGAGGTCTGGTGAGCACTCTGGGAAGAAATGATTCTTATTAAGTGAGTTCATATGTCTAATTGCTGAGCACAGGGCCTGGCACATTGAAGTGCTTAATGAATATTAGCTTTTATTTTTAAAACGTATTATTATTTAGGATTATTAACTTCCTAAGGCTCAATGGGTACCCTGAAGGGTCACGATTATGGACCCAATTTCCTCCTCTACCCGTATGGTCTCTCAGTTCTAGACTGACATACCCAGGCTTTATACCCCACGCCTTCAAAGGAGACCACGTACTGCTGGGAACGTGGCTTTCAGTTCCATAGCAGCTCTGAAACTGATTTCTGTATTACAAGGTTTCAGGTGATCATGGTTCACTGGTAGAATCAGGGAAGTTCAGAAGCCGACAGAATCTCCCCCTTCTGGGCCGATTCCTTTCTGAGTTCCCAGGAGAACTAGGTTTTGGAATTTTCCCTAAATGTCTATCCTCCTAGGGCTGAATCGAACCTTTGGCGTTTCCTGTTCTACACTGGGAACCAGAAGCTTTCTGAATTATCTCATAGGACATTTCCTGATCTGTGAATCTTTTAGAGCCTGAAGATCATGTTTTTCCCCTCATCATCTCCTGACTCTCAGTCTCCAAGGAACATGTGCGTATTTCATTACAACTCCACCGTTTCCCGCGTTCGGTGGTAAATACGTGAGCTACAAGAGTGTACATTCATAACACAACACCAAAGGTTGGCAGTACAGATTTATGGCTCATTACATCATTTTAGTGTGGGGCTGATTCACCCAATCAGTTTATTTAGCAATAAGAGAATATTAAAGAAGGCAACTGTACCAACCTACACCAGCCCCTGTCTCGGCTGGGTCCATTACTTCCGCCCTCTCCTATCAGTGGCTTGATAAGGTGGATCTGCGCTCGCAGAGATAGGCCTTGTCAGGGAGCCAGAGCGGGAACTTCCCAACAGGCCCTGTCTGTACTCAGGGACTTCAAGAAGCAGAGGACGCTGTGAATCTAAAAACGTAGCATTCCTCTCCTAAGGATTGCATTTTCACTTTTGAGGTTTTGAGTGTTCCTCTCTCTTTTTTATTTTTAATTTTTTTAAATGTTTATTTATTTTTGAGAGAGAGGGAGAAAGAGTGTGAGTGGGAGAAGGGCAGAGAGAGAGAGGGAGACACAGCATCCGAAGCAGGCTCCAGGCCCTGAGCTGTCAGCACAGAGCCTGATGCGGGCCTCGAACCCATGAACCGTTGAGATCGTGACCTGAGCCTAAGTCAGACGTTAAACCAGCTGAGCCGCCAGGTGCCCCTCGAGTGTTCTTCTCTTGCTATTGTTTACTCCATCCTTTGTTGTTCAGACAAACTCATTCTGCCTTCTACCTCCAGAATGAGGCTCTCTTTCCTGGGACATCCTGGTCAGCCAGAGTCATTTTATCCCACCCTGCCGGTGTCACTCGTCACAAAGCTCTTGACGTTCAGTTAGGAATAAATAAGTTACCACCAGAATCAAAGTCAAGTTGAGTTTATCAAACGTTGGGTGTTTTCGCATGGGGGGGGGGAGGATGGTGGAAATAGGTGGTGGGGATGAAAAGGACACTTACCGTGTTGAGCAGTAGGTAATGTACAGGATTGTTGAATCGCTATACTGTACCCCCCAAACCGATATCACACTGTATGTTATCTGTGCTGGAATTAAAATGAAAAAGCTTAATTTAAAAAAGGGATGTTTCCAACATTTTATTTTTAAAAGCTTCAACTCTACAGACATGTTGAAAGAACTGTGCAGCGAGCACCCCTCTACCTGTCGCCCAGAGTCCACAGTTAGTATTTTTATTTATTATATAACCATCTATCCACCCATCAGCCCATCTTATCATGTTAGCCTTTTGCTTTGAAGTAATTTTAGATTTACAGAAAAGTTGCAAGAATAGTGCATAGGGTTCCCAAATACCTTTCATCAGCTTCCCCCGATGTTAGCATCTTACAGAACCATCACACAATGATCAAGTCAACATTAGAATGATCTGACACAACACTGCCAGTAATATAACCTTATTTTTAAGAACCTTTCTAACAGTGAGTTTCTATTTTTTATTAAAAAGATTTTTTTTTTCCAGCTGGACTTTAAATAAAAACTTGGGAAACGATACTGCAACACTATTAATGAATCTACACATCTTACTTGAATTTCATCAAATTTCCCACTAAGGTTCTTTTCCTGGTGGAGGATGTGATCCAGGCTCCCGCCCTGCATGTAGTTGTAGTATGTTCTTTGTCTCCGGCCTATGACAGCTCCTCTGTTTCACATACTCTTGACCCTTTTGATGTATACTAGCCATTTATTTTTTGAATGTCCTTCAATTTGGGTTTGTCTGAAGTTTTCTCATGATTACACCAAGACTGCGTTTTTTTTACGAGAATACCACAGAAATGAGATTATGCCCCTCTCTGTTCATCACATGGTGGGGGGTGGGCATCATATCACCCCGTAAAATTGCTACTGATGTATCTTTTATCAATTGGTTAAGGAGTTGTCTGCCGGGCTTTTCCACTGTAAATTTATTATTTTTCAGTTTGTAAAAAATAAGTGTTTTGGAGGAGATCCTTTGAGACCATTCAAATATCTGGCTTCTCCTTAAATCTCGCCTACTAATTTTAGCAGGCATTGGGGGGTTTTGCCTGGAGCAGTTGTTTCTGTGGCTCTCTAATGGTGCTTTCCCATGACCCCCATTCTTTCTACATTGATTAGCTAGGGTTCTACCTTAAGGAAGAGGTGTCCCCTCTTCCCCATTTATTTATCTGTTCAATTATTTATTTATGTCAAGACGGAGTCAGGGATCTTTCTTTCATTCTTTGGGTTCCAATCCAGTTTTATCACAATTTATTTTGTTGCTCTGTTGGATCATTGGAAACTCCCTTCAGATCAGCTCCTGCACCCTTTTGACCTGCCCTGGCATTTCCTGAGCACTTCTTTACTTTCTGGCAACACAAGATGTTGCAGACTTATTTTGTATTTTCCCTATTTTCTCTAAGGAGCTCTGGGTTCTTTTATGAGAGATTGGGGTTTAGAAACCAAGATCTGGGCATTAAGTGTGCTTACTGCTGTGGGAGTACCATTGTCTTCCCAGTGGATGGAGCTAGAAAGTGTATGTGTGTGATTGATATGTAACATCTATATTTCTGTATTTATCCATCTGTGTGTGTGAGTAGATATGTGCACATATATATTTACATATACATATTCCTCTAAATATTAAATCATGAGCTCATGCAGATGCCCTTGAGTCCAACTGAACACCACGGTTTTATTCAGGACTTCCCCTTTTCTTAATTGCCAGCTTCTAGCTCTGCAGGGGAAAACCTGGCTGTCTTATCCATAGTATATTTACTTATTTGTCCAATCCTCATACACACATAAAGTAGTTTCAGAGTTGCTAATCCATATCTCCTTGGAGGGATGAATTTACTAATTAGAGTCCAATATTAGTACATGATTCTTTTTGTCCTTAGCATTATAGTTTGTGGCCAAAAGTTGCTTAGATTAGTTCCTTTCTTCCCCACCCTCTTCAGGGTGGTTGAGTTATTGGTTTGTAATAATACAGTTAGGTTCATTTGTTACTGCTTGTATTCTATTTTGGATTCCCCCCATATCTTGATTGATTTAAAAAAATGTATACTTACTTTCTTGGTGTATATGTGGGCAACATGTGAAACACTGCTGTGATTATTTTTTAAATATTTTATTAAAATTGTTAATGTTTATTTATATTTGAGAGTGAGTGACAGAGAGAGATTGGCAGAGGGGCAGAGAGAGGGAGACACAGCATCCAAAGCAGGCTCCAGGCTCTGAGCTGTCAGCACAGAGCCCGACATGGGGCTCAAACCCACGAAATGTGAGATCATGACCTGAGCCGAAGTTGGATGCTTAACCCACTGAGCCACCTAGGTGCCCCAACACTGCCATGATTCTAAAGTAGGAGTAATAAAGAAATGTTCACCCAGAGAAGTGCTGCCCTTTCCCTATTCTTTCCACCACATTCTCACTCTTTGCAGGTGACTAATCTCATTTGTTTCTGGCTTATCCTTCTTATATTTCTTTTGCACATGTTAGCAGCTTCATGAACACCTCTATGTTTCCCTTTCTTTCTTCCATGAATCCGCCTTATTTTTGATGCATTTCACAGAAAGTTGCAGCTCTCAGTACATTTTTACCCTAAACACTTTGGCATGCCCGTCATTAACTAGGTTTCAATTTTTGTCTATTTTTTTTTCACTTTTATTTCTTTCAAGGTAAAATTCACACGCAATAAAACTCAAGAATCTTAAGTGTACTGTCGAATACGTTTTGACAAACGCATATACTTGTGTAATGCAAACCCCTAACAAAACGTAGAGCATTCCCATAACCTCACAAGTTTCCTGCTCCGGCTCTGAGACAACCGGTATTCTAAGTTTTTTCTACCATCGTTTGGTTTGGCCTGTTCTAGGCTTCCTAAAAGTGAATTATACAATGTGTACTCTTCTGCATGAAGCTTCTTCCACTCTAGCCTGTCTTTGAAATACATCCATGTTGTGTGTCTCTCTAGCTCATTCCTTTTATCGTGTTAGCATTCTGCTGTGTAAACATACCAGTGTATGCAGGATGAACAGTGTAGATTTTCTGTTGATGTGGAGTTAGCTTATTTTCATCCGATGCTTCAGATTCTTCTGGTGTTACAGTGCCGTGCTACACATCTTTTAAATTATTTTAAGTAATTCAGCTTTATATGTTTTGCCTTGTGCACACATACATGGTGCTTTCCTTTCAGAAAGCTCAGTGTTAAAACACGATTAGATTCTCTCTGTAGAGACAGATAAATGTACTTTTAAGACATTTAATACTGAAAAATTCATACAACAAAAACCGAAGTCAGTGACTATTCTATTTGAGAGAGAGGCGTGGGGGAGGAGGGGCAGAAAGAGAGAGGGAGAGAGAGAATCCCAAGCAGCCTCCACGCTCAACAAGAAGCCCAGTGCGCGGCTCAGTCCCAGACCCTGAGATCATGATCTGCGCTGAAATAGAGTGGGAGACGCTGAACCTACTGAGCCACCCAGGTGCCCCTCAGTAACTATTTCTTGAACATTGGTTATACGCAATTACTGCGTTAGATCTTTGGGAATACAGGCACGAGGAAGACAGAGGGCTGTTTATGGATGTTTTAGGGCATTCAAGGTACATTCGGACACCACCAGAGACAGGATTTCCCGAGAAGAACCCCAATCATCATCTCAGTTGTGTGCTCCAAGTCGCGTGAGCAACGCGGTGCTCCTCCAAACAAGTGGTCCTTGTTGAGAAGCTGCGTCCTGGTTTTTGCAGCTGTCGCGTGGGCTCAGGGTGGTGGAGAGGAATCGGCCGGAGAGGGGAAGACAGGGGAACACAACGGAGGCTAACACGAGCCCGGAACTGTGCCGCCAAAGGGGGATGGCATCAGGAAGGAAGCATTTCCGGAGCACGTGGGGCCGGCATTTCCGGTGCATGCGGTGCGGCCATTTCCGGAGTATTACGTGCCGGCATTTCCGGCGCACGCGGTGCCGGCTCTCACCTGTGGCGGCCGCCGCTGGCACCGAGGTGGGAGCCAGGCCAGCCACCGCTCAGGCCTCCGATGGCACGGCGGGGAGGAGGCATCTGCAAAAGGCCACAGGCCCCGTCACCCCTTAGCGTGCACGAAATGAGGCAAAAGGGTGGCTCAATAATTTGGCCCAGGACACACCATGGAAGGCACTCAGTGAATGCTAATTTAATTGTCTAGGTGGGTCCATTTAAAATGTCTCTCTCGCTCTCTTTTTGAAATCTTAGCAACCTGGAAGAAACTTTTTGGTATAAATTCAGTTAACTTCTAGACTTGGAAATGATAAATGCTTTTTTATGTTTTATTTTTTAATAAAAACATGAACTGGAATGGAATGACTTCCTTCCAAAACACTTTAAAGAAACAAATTGTCATGTGGAATCTCATTTTGCATGAATCAGAGTACAGTAAATCTCAAAATATCCACTGAACTGCCTGTTGTGGTTTACTAAACAGGAAAATGATTTCAGCAGGATGGTCTTTTCCCCTAGATCCACAGCAGGCAGCCTTTTGTGCTGTTCTGAAAACATCTTAATTCTTCCCCAAGTACCACGTTTCTTGGAATTATTCACCGGAAATTAATAGTATTCTGAGTTTTAAAGTAATTCAAACCACAAGTGACTTTGTAATCATGCTTAGCAGTAGTATAAAGAGCCATCGAGCAAGCAGAGGTTATGACAGTATTAGTCACAATTGCACATAGCATCCCCCCCACAAAGATGTATGTTTCTGTCCCGACCGTGTTCACTGGGCTGCCGTACTGGGTCGTGACAACAAACAAATGAGTAAAATGTGTTGGATAATGTCAAATGCTACAGGGAAAAAATTGGGCAAAGGCGGCTCTTAAACACGCTGGGATAGAGACAGAGAGCTGTTGAAATTATAGATAAGGTGGCCGGGGAAAGGCGTCACTAGGGAAACGATATTTGCATAAAGACCTCCACAGTATGTGAGTCACATGGACATCTGAGGAAGAACCATTCCAGGCACAGGAAGAGCATGTGCAAAGGCCCTGAGGCAGGAGTGTGCCTGAGGAACACAAGAGCATAGCTGGAATGTAGTGAATGAGGGCGAGGGAGTCATTAGGGACAAGGATAGAGAGG